ATTAAACATGTGGGTTAGTCAGTAGAGAGTTATTTTAATTTAATATATAATATTTAATTTGATTTTTGATAAATGTAATTATATTAAATACTAGAACTTGAGAGTTTTATCTTCCAAATAAAATATATTAATAGTATATTTTTTAATTTAGTTTCTTTAAATATCATAATTTTTTATTTGTTCAATCTAAATGAAGAGTAATGAGAAAATTGTGATAATTTAAAGAATTAAATATAAAGCTTGTGACATATAAAGAGATTAAAAGGAAGAAACATAGTATTTAAAAAACTAAATAAAAAGTAAAATTTATTTAATAAATAAAATATTTTATAAAAATTGAAAACCATGATTTTTCAAAATTTAAAACTTAATAAAACCTTTCTTTTTCTAATATTATTAATTTAGGTATGAGTCACAAGCTATTCAACTCCCAGCTAACTGGTAAGATGGGTGTTGGATCATAATTTTTCTTTTATTTTATTTGATAGCAATTAGTTGTGTTATATATAAATTTTTTGTTGTGTATCTTTTGGTTTATATCAGAAAATTTGTTAAATTGAAAGTTTTCTTCTTTTTAAAAAACTTGTGTACAACGTTCACGTGTTTGAAGTTTGGCCAATCACTTTTACAAAAGAAAAAAGTGATTATTATAGTATTAATAAATTTGATAAAATATTATATACTGTTTTTAATTAATTATTGTAATTTTTTAATATTTTAGAGAATAAAAATATTTAAATTTTTTAAATAAATAAATAATTTTACTATATGTTAATAGAAAAATAATGATAATAATTGTTTTATGTGTGAGGATATAGAATGTTCTCTTAAAAATACTACCAGACTAATAGTGATTTTTAATGAATTAAATGCTGATATGTCATTATATTAAATAATTATATCATCATGTCATATTATTGAAAAATAATATAATTATTAAAAAAATAATTAGAACACAATGATAATTTAAAAAAAAAAAAAGCTTACATTATTATTCAATTATGTAATTGCTACCATATATTTTTAATTCATTAATAAATATTTACATTAACAGTGCATAACAATTAAACTTTAAAATAATTTAATTACAATTGAAAAAATTACAAATTATATTTCATTAATAATATGAAAATTTATTATTGATCTACAGTACAAAATACTTTAAACGCATCGCAAATAAACTGTTACTTAAAATAAAATAAAGTAGCTACACGCACAAATTTCAAACATGCTTTCTAAACAAAGTTCACATATCCATTAAAGAAAAAACAAATATATGTACTGTTGGTTAATCTTCAAAAACACAATTAAGGAGATCAAATTAATCCTTTATTTATAAACACTTGAAATTGATGGTCGAACGATATATATATATAGCAATGAATTTATTTTTTTAACGTTATAATTTTTTCATCAAATTAGGTTTTATATTTTTTTTTTCTGGGCCGTGAGTAAACAAGTGGGTATTAATTTGATCTTGAAATTCTAAAGAATCTAACTATCATTAAAAAAAAAAAAAACAGTATAAAATCACTAAGAGATAAATGACAAATTTATTCTGAATAAATTCCCATTTTCATCTTTTATTATATTTATATTTTTTACTTTAAGTCAAAAACAACTTTGAAAATAATCTTAATTCTATCTAAATATAATTAAATATAACATTTGTTTTATAAAATTACATTTATAAAAATAAATGCACAGTACAAGCCACCACACATGTAATTATTTGGTCGTAAAATTGGAACCACCGACCCATCCAGAACGTTCCCTACCTATCAAGGGATTAGGGTGCTAAGTCAAAAGTCAGGAATGCAATCTCCTTCGACCATACGAATAATTAGGCACGGGCTCTTTGACTAATCTAGGTAAATTTAAAATTTAGGCAATTGTTTAAAAAATTAAAATCATAAATCAATAAAAATATAATAAATATATTTTTGACATGATTTTTAATAAAAATCTATCATTTTCAATTCTTTAAATAATGTCTTGTGAATATTAATTTGCAATATCTTAAATTTTATTTATTAAAAATTAAGAAAGAGATAATAACGGTAGGTTTCGAAAATAGTATTATGATGTGATTGGTTATTTATTATTTTTTAACGTGTATTTTGCCTCTTATAAAGCCAAAATACATTCATATTTTTTGTTTAAATGTGTTTTAATTCATTGAAACGAAATTTGGCTTTAGTTTTTAGGGAAGTTTTTTTCTATATCTATTGTTACCTTATTATTAAATAACTATTGACTTAATTAATACATGCTTAACAAAGCTTGATTACGTGTACTGTCTCATCAAATATGGTAAAAAAAATAAAAAATTAACTTATTTGAATGAATATATGAAAGTGGTCCTTTATGTGACGCAACTATGAAAACTTAAACCATGTTTAATTTTTTTCTAAAAATAGTTTTCTATTTTTTAAAAATAAAAAATTATTTTTAAAAAATAAATTAAACGTACTCTTAATTTATATTATTTGTGTAAATTTTTTTTAATATATATCATGAGTTGGTGCATGTAATAAACTTTAGATATTTGATGCTAGAAAAATTAAAAACTACTTCCTCTTATTTTTTATAAGAAATAAAAAATTAAATTATCAGATCAAAGAAAGTAATTAAATATGTTATATTTTTCATAAATATAAATTTTATTTTAAAAATATTCATGATATTAAATGATGTAGTTAATAATTTAAATATTTAATAATATTAATAAAAGAAGAATATAAAAAAATTTAATAATTAATGCATCTTGAATCTATCATTTGTTTCTTATAACAAGAATAAAAAAATATTTTATTTTATTTCTTATAAAAAAGAGTAGAAGAAATATTTAAAAATAAGTTAACAATAAAGATAAAACATAAAAATTTGAAAAGAAAATTTTTTTAGTATATAAATTTTATAATTACCCTAAATTACTTAACAAGTCCTAAAAATATCTCAAGTTTGAAATATATATATATATATATTATAAAAATGTAATGATACAAAAAATTTTAAAAAGTTTTCATATCTCAAATTTACTCAAATTTATTAAAAATATTTTCATTTTTGTTTTTTGAAAAAAAATCACCTAATGAGGTCAGATTATTATTATTATTATTATTTTCATTTTACTGTAAAATGTAATCGCCGTGCCTCAGTTACAACAAGGAAGTGAAGTGAAAAGGAACATTGAGAGAAAGGTTAAAAAAAGGTCAAGAACGAAAATTTCTTCTTCCGTACGATGAGATGATTGTGCTTAGTAGATGCTTTCCACTAATCATGTGAAATCCGTTTGTAACAATGTAAAATCCCCGGAATCAAAAAGGCTTTTAAATGAAAATGAAAAAGAAAATGATAGTCTTGTCTGGTTTGTTAATTAATCAAGTACTTATTGTTTTAAACTTTTTAATTATATATGTATTAGTTGAATTAAATAAAAAAAAAGGAAAACTTTTGAAATTTCTTTCTTTTATTATCTAAACAAGTAAAAAAGAAAAATAAAAACAAAATTTTAATTAATTTTTATTTGTCTTTCAATTTAAATTTAAAAATTTTCCTTTCTGATATTATCTTCTTTTTTCTTCACAAATAATTAGCGGGTTAGTGTATAACTCTATGTTCATTAAAAAGACCATTACGAACAAAAAAGGAGAAGGCTTTTCACTAATAAGTGATAATTGAACTAAACGTCGTTGGTTTAATTATTCCCACTTTGAAAACGAAGTTACAATGACTTTGGGAGAAAAATTAGGTAGACTGTGAAGTGTCCGCAAACAGAAATATCTTAAGTGGATTTCTTAAATTTTGTAAGATACAATTTTTTTTTTAATTTAAGCATATATATAAAATAATTTTGAATTTTTAATGTTTATTTTATTAATCTTTTATTTATGTATTATTGTACCGACTAAATTTATTAATTTTATTTTTATATGAAACAAGTATTTTCACAAAATATATTTTGTACTGGAGAAAATGTATCAATGAGAATGTCCTTTTTATTTAAACATTTGAAAATAAATTATAGTAATTTTAAAAATTTATATGAACTTTTAAATAATTATGTGGTTTTTTAATATTAATTATTGATATTCTTATTCGTATTTATTGTTCACATTTAATAAAAAAAATGTGTAGTTATAAAACAAAATAATTATGTAGATAATAATAACAAATATATAGTGAATTTTATGTAATTTCTGTTGAAAATGTTTAAAAAAAGTTAAATTTCAAACGACAAAAACTGTATAATTTTTTGTACTATAATCTAATATCAAAATCATAGTATCAATCAAGTTTTTTTTGTTTTTCCTCTTTTCATTTTTTATATGACATTTGTAACAAGGGTTGTCCATATATCCAGTAAAATGAGTCATTTTATCGGATAATGAGAGGTATAAACCTATATTATATAATTACATACAAGTAGTTAATATTGAAAAATTTATGAAATCGTCTACATGACTTACACGTTTTAATTTTGGTAATTAATAAGATTTATTTTTTATATTCTCATGTACAAATATTTTTTTCACTTATGCAATTCTTATCTACATATACATAGGAATTAAAAAGTGTAAAATTATATTTAAAGTTAAAATTATGATACATAGAATTTAAAATATTCTGTTCGTAATTTTTTAAAATTTCTTAACTTACACGGTTAAAGTATTTATTTGCAATATATTTTTTATTTTTATTGCTAATTGTTTCAATAAAATAAAAATTAATAAATGATGACAATCGACAATCTCTTAGTAAAATAAAATAAATAAAATTTCAAAAAATGAAAAAGAAAAGAAAAATGCAAACACAGAAACTAATTTCATATTGAAGTTTTTTAACAAAAATAAAAAGGTAAAAAGTTAAACTGTAAAAAAGGAAGAAGAAGAAGAAAACAAAGAAAAGAGGTGGGAGGTGGAGACAGCGTGATCTGATTGACTGATGGTAACACGGGTCGTGGCAGTTATAAATACCACCCAAAGAGACAAAGGCATAGCGAAGAAAATCGAAAAATAAAAGTAAAATACGACTGTTCAAAACGCACTCTCCCAAGTCCGAAGCCTCCAAAGCCAAACACAGCTTCTTTGCAATTTCAATCCTAATTCCATTCTTCCATCACACACCCACATACCCTATTTTCTGCAACCTGTAATCGTCTCCAATTAGATTAGATTAGATTCCCCGGCCAGCAATACCATCCACAACATGGGTACTTCCATTCTAGAAGCGCTCAACGTGCGCGTGGAGGGTTCCGGCGACAGATACCTCGTCCTCGCCCACGGCTTCGGCACAGACCAATCCGCGTGGCAGCGCGTCCTTCCCTACTTCACGCGCCACTACAGCGTTATTCTCTACGACCTCGTATGCGCCGGCAGCGTTAACCCCGACTACTTCGACTACCGCCGCTACACCACCCTCGACGCCTACGTGGACGACCTCCTCAACATCCTCGACGCCCTCCGTGTCCCCCGCTGCGCCTACGTCGGCCACTCCATCTCCGCCATGATCGGAATGTTAGCCTCCATTCGGCGCCCCGACCTCTTCACCAAACTCATCCTCATCGGCGCTTCCCCCAGGTACACAACAACAATCACAATTATTATTATTATTATTATTATTATTATTATTATTATTATCCAACAAATTAAGCTAGTAGTGATTAATTTTCGTAATTTTGAAGATTCTTGAACGACAAAGACTACCACGGCGGGTTCGAACAAGGAGAAATCGAGCAGGTGTTTTCCGCAATGGAAGCGAACTACGAAGCATGGGTGAACGGTTTCGCGCCGTTGTCGGTTGGAGCCGATGTTCCCACAGCGGTTCGAGAATTTTCACGGACACTGTTCAACATGAGACCCGACATCTCGCTGTTCGTGTCGCGCACGGTGTTCAACAGCGACTTGAGGGGGATTTTAGGTTTGGTTAATGTGCCGTGTTGTATTATGCAAACCTCTCGGGATGTGTCCGTGCCTGCCACCGTGGCAACTTATTTGAGGGAACACTTGGGTGGGGAGAGTACGATCCAGTGGCTCGACACGGAGGGTCATCTTCCCCACCTGAGTGCTCCGTCGTACCTTGCACGCCAGCTAGAGCTCGCGCTTTTGCCGTAGCGCGTGGCGCGACTGAGTAAGAGTAACTAATTAACTCTAGCAGGTTAGGCCCTAGGAGGAAGCGTTGAAGAGTGAGGGCCCGGACGAATAGCTGGAAAAGTGGACACCTGGCGAATAACGTGTGGGGGTTGGTTCTTAGACTTTGGGATTTTATGTAAGGATAAGAATCTGCACGTGATTGTCACGTGATGCATGGCCATTTTGATTAGTATAAATATAAATATTTATGGTTCTCTCTTTTTATCTGTGAAAAAGGAAGAAAAGAGAACAGAGTTGGGGTCTTGTTTGTTGTTGATGTTATCATTGTTGTTATATTGGAAAAGGTGTTGGTTTCTCTTTGTTGGTTGCTTCTGCTTTGTTACTCTGATCAACATAACTTGATGAGCCCAGACAACTGAAAAGAAATTAAATGATTTTCAATTATTTGACGCGACTCGTGTACGGCACTTTCCCATTTCACAGTGCCTTATCCGTTTAACTATCATCGTTTTGTGTTCTCCCTCCCATCCAAACCATCACTGCCCCACTCATTCTTTTGCCCTCAAACCCTTCTTTCACTTCTTCCTTTTCTTCTTCCTACTTTGACCAAAAGCCACCACCTTTCACTTTTTTTCTTCTTCCTTCAATACTGTTGTCACCAAAAACTAACAAGAAAATAGTTATGAAACTCACTTTTAACTTGAGGATAAAATATTTAACTTATTTTAATAAGTATCTTATGTAATAAGAATTATCACATGAAACTTTAATTTTGAAGTGTATTCAAATAATTTTAAAAAAATAATTTGAGGAGGAGGAATCAAAATTTAAAATTTAAAACATTGTTTAATCAAAGTAGCGATTTTGCTAAATCAGTCCTGAATTTGAGCTTTTCGCCATTTAATTTGCAGTTGTTTATTTTTTAAATACCATAAAATATAAACAGAGAACCAAAAATATAAAATACATAGAAGATAATATTTTAACTCTTATTCTTTAATCAAGTGCCACTTTTACAAGAAATAAAATCCATCACCATGATACATTGGAAAGGTAGTCATATTGGATCCATTACAAGAAATAAATTATTTTTTTTTATATGCCAATTCCACTAAATAATTGGATCCATTATTTGCTAATGGAATCGTCATGAAATTTTACTTAATAATAGAAAATAATAAAAGTGTGTCCTTAATACTTTATAAAAAAAACATTTAAAAGACCTGTTAAGGCACAATCTCGGAAGTAATGAACATTATTTAAGATTCCTGTACTCCTTTTTGGTCACTTGTGTGAGCATCAATGTAGTTAAGCTGTGTAGAAAAGAACAAAGCTAGATATGGGGAATTTTACGGCTATGTTCTGCTTTCGTATGTTTCAACTTTCTTCAACTTTGGATGCATAGATTGAAAGTACAACTGTAGTGTACAAGGCCGGAATTGAAGACAATTTCAAAAGATGGAGTTATTTTAACTTTTTAATACAGAAAATGAAATATGTGACTTCTTTATCCGCACTATAAACAAACAAATTGAAAATAAAATTTGCTAGATGCATGGGCTTTAGTCTCACTATAAATATGAGCAATAAATGGATTTTTTAACTTAAATTTGCTAGGTCTTGGCCATGCAGACATTTGGCAAGGAAAACAGAAATGTTAGTAAACCCAACCTCCAAACATTAATATCACAAGCCCTAATTTTTTTTAATTTCTAATTTTGGAAAAGTATAGAATCCTTTTCTAACTTCATTGCAACTTCTATTATCAATTAAAAAACATTTGACAACTCCTCACTTTTTAAAAAAATTGAGATTTAATATAAGGACAGTGGTTAAGAAGAATTTGATACATTTTATGAAAATTTTTAATTAATTAAAAAGAAACATTAAATTATTGATGTTTATTATAGTACAGATAAACATGAAAGAATATTTTATACTCTCTTTAGAATGGCTGTAATTTTTAATATTTTAAAAATGAAAAATTATTAACATCTTTTTTATTGTTCTGTATATAAAAGAAAATATCAAACTCTTTCAAGTACAAGAAGTACGCAGATCTTGTTTTAACATTTTTAATAATAACAACTAATTTTTATTTATTTTTTCACATAAATATACTTATTCGTATTCCCTAACAAATCATTTGACTTTATTTATGCACTATTAGTATATAATAAAAAGAAAAGTTATGCAATTTGATCTTTGAAAGTGTCATTTTACTTTTTTTTTTTTTTTCTGTTCGAAAGTTTTACTCACTAAAAAATTTATGTTAAAAATCAAAATTTAAAACAAACGAGATGTGTTACTATATTATTTTAGGCTCAAAGCCATAGCGAGAAATAATCCAAATCTTAATCCGTTTTTACAACTACATTACCACGTCATTTTATTGTAAAGCATGGTTTTGTAAGGATCATTACAAATATTCTTATCTGTCAATTGTGTTAACTTCAAATATTTTTGGCTTGTCAACGACATGATCGTCAATTCATCAATAGCCCCACTCTAATTTTCTTCTCTTTTTTCTTTATTTTACACAACTCTTAACGCTTTCGAAAAAAAAAGGGATCAAATTCTGCGCTGAATACATAAGAATATACACTTTTATGGACGAGCTTTTTGATTCTTTTAATTTCTCACAAAGAAACATAGGCAAACTACAAACAATTTTTGGCAACGAAATATTTGAGGAGAGGTTTTTCTATTCTCGTTTTAGTCTCAAACTTTTTCTTCAAACTCTGTCACTGTTTGCCATTTGTGACTTTAATATTTTAAAAATATCTAACTTTTTTATAATATTACAAGATTTTGTTTGCCATTTATACTCAAACATAATTTTTTTCCCGAAAAAAAAAACAATGGTCTAGAAGAACATATAATCACTCTTTTTGGACTAACGCAACAGGGCCAAAAAATAAAAGAACACACATAATTTTGTTAGAACACCCCCTAATGCCAATTGACAGAATCTTGTTCTCTTTTGTTTTCCTCTTTAAACAAGAGACGAAGTTTCTTAAGTTATTTCCTGTTTTATTTTAAAGTGAATAGAAACAGTTGTTTGTTATTGAAGATATAAACCCCCTTTTTAGGTGGGTATCGGATGCTTGTCCTACTTGAGAATCATATTTTAGATATATGACCTTTGAATAAATGCTGGGTTTCCGTAATTGAACATATTGGATAATGCTAACAAATGCCATCAAGTCGTTAATGGAACATTCAAAAATGAAGAAGTAATAAATAAAAAACAAAACTTTTAAGTTGTAATTTGTTATGTCTTTCCACAACTTCATTTTTATGATATTTTACATTTTTTAATGTTTTAATCTATCAAATATGATTTCTTATTACATGTTTTTAGATTATTTTCTTTATCTCAATTTATTTAACAACCAAAATGGAGTAGAGATGAACACAAAAAAATCATGAAATGACAAAAGACAAGGCCCAACCAGCAACGCTACAGTGAAACTAAAGAGGAAAATCCTAAATACTACCAATCACACTTGCCGGAGCTCATGACTTCAAAGGATACAAAAGAAAAACAAAGTACAATACTTTATAATATCCCTTTTCATGTTTGTGTATATAAAAAAACTTGTTTCTAAACTTACACATGTATAAATATTAATGGGAAAACTTATTTTTATTTTTATTTTTTTAGGATAAACTTCACTGATAGAGATTGATCCGAGTAACAACTAATACATCTAACTGTGTGACTTGAGTCAGATCCAAATAAAACTAGATGAAAAACTAAAAAAATAATCACTTTTATCTTTTAACTTTATTTTTTTATTTTTATTTTTAAAAAATTTACTTTTTAACTTTATCATTCATTACATCCATCTGTATAATACAGGTCAGATTTAAATGAACCATATAAAAAAAATGACTTTTTTATTTTAACTTTTTTTTTCCTTACATTTATCCTTAAAAAATTCACTTTTTAACTTTATTGGAGTGCATCTCTCCCCCTTCTCCTTTCCCTCTCCTCTTGCAGCTCCTTCACTTCTTTTCTCCCTAACTCATCGGTCTTTTAACTTTCCTTTCTCTCTCATCTCTTTTTGGCAGTTCCCCTTTAAAAGTTATTAGTCAAATATGATAAAGTTAATTTCTAAACCAACTTATTTCTTATACCAATAACTACATGACAATTTTGTTACTCTGGATGAACTGTGCATCTATAAGCTAAATAAAGTAGTTTCTAGCTTGCCAATTATGCTCATTCTTTACATTTGTTATACTATCCACCATCAAGCTATTTTTCTGTCATGCATAATATAGTTGCCCTCTTTCATTTATTATTTAGTGGATAATTTCTTTTCAAAAATTGCTTAACTAGTACTTATTTTTAAAAAATTACCAAAATAAGAGCACATTTTTGCCAATTTTAAATAAATTTTTGAACATTTTAAACCGCTACAAATATTTTGAGTGTTATAAACTGCCAAAAATTGCACTCAAAGTTGTAAAATATTTATACTCTTTATAGAAAAAAGGAGTCAATTGTACTTTTTTATTCCCAGTCTTGAATGAATCATCCAATCTTTCTATCATGCATAGTATAGTTGCACTCTTTCATTTGTCAAAGAGAAAAATGTTTTAATTGGATACCTTTGTGTTAAAAAAAAAGCCCACTATTTCTATTCACCTGTAGAGCTTTCTTTCGAAATAGATGCACTAGGCTCATTCTCCTTAAGGGTCACTTTAAAAACAAGTTGGGCTGTTGGATTCCTTCCGTCCAATACAAACATGTTGGGGTTCAATCCAAAATAGTGTCCAAACACATAGATTCAATCAATGGGCTTTAGAATAATTCCAATGATGATCCATGTGGTTGCCACCATCTCATGAATGCATGATTCTTTTGTAGCTTGAAGAGCAATGTCATCCTTGATATCTTCAACTCCATTATCATTTGAATTACATTTTTGAATTCCACCAAGGGAAGCAGATCCTTTATAAGAACTTCTATTTTATACATCATAATTACACAACATTTTTTTATATAAATATGAGAGAGATGGAAAGAGAAAAAAGAGATTATATTTATATCTATAAAAATCACTGATTTGAATCCACCTGTCTTGCATGCATGTTTTTTGGGAGCCATTCTTTTTATTTATTTATTGAAGGCATTTAGGAGCCATTCTATGAATTATCTTTCACTCTTCTTACACTAGTTAACAATAATTAACATTAAAAGGTTAAATCATGTAGTTAACTGAAAAGACAAACTTTCCATTTTAAGTTTCCTCTTCTTTAAGTATAATTCCTTGTCTTTTTCACTTTTTCTGTCAAATCATGTTCTGAAGAAAATAGAATTCAAATTAAGATCTTTGAAAGCACTCATGCATGTTTCTAGTGGCTTTCGTTCACACACCGCCAACATTTTTGCTGTTCTCTTAAGTTCCA